GGGATATACATGCAGAAGCGTTACGCATGAGTGCAAGCGTGCACGAGCGAACCAGTAGCAAACTAAATTGAAACCCACTACTGATGTGTATATATCCATCAATGTATGAGACAGTGAACATATGAGCATCAAAAAGAGCAAGGAATGGCAATTCTTTTTATGTATTTATTCGTTTGATTTCTATTGCCACGAACTTCATCATGCGACTACACAAATAATACAAATTATACAATCCATGATGTGTCATGACATCATGAAGTGCGTAATGTTATGGCTTCTGACAGATATCTACCACTGATCCATAGCACTTGAGGGTGTAACAAAGTTTCTCTTTATGAAAATTGAATGTACAGTTCTTGACCTTTGAGCATGTAAGTTGTAAAAGATAAGGCTTAGCTCATATGCCACTGCACCTATTTCATCTGGTGTTCCCATACTTTTCCAAAACCTTAGGTTTGGGAAGGATTCCGCTGAAAAAGGATTGCTCCATTCATTTAAAGCTGGGTGTTTGTTTTTATAGTACAAGCTTGTGGGCTAAAGCTGCTTTATCATTTGATCTCGAGTAAAACAGAGTTAATTGATGTTATCAATTTTACTTATGCTAAAAATATAATAATAGCACTTGTGCTAATATCCTGCCTTTTTTCTTGGAGCTCAAGGGAATGCACTTGGAGAATCTCCCCTCATTTGATACTTTCAACAATGACCCTGTAAAGGAAAATAGGCTGAAAAGACTGTGGTCAGTCCAAGATCATCCAAAGATTTTATTGGTCGTCTGGGTTGTTCCTGGATATACCCTTCATTTGGGGTCCCTAGGACATGGCCCACTACCCACAGCCCATTTGGAACCAGGCTACAGAAACAGCAGGCTGGCGGACACATGCGCGCACACAGCTCGACTTGCGTGAATGGTGGGCCCGTACCCATGCTCATATGTGCGCAGCTCAACTTGCGCAAATTGAGGTGTGCGTGCATTCACCTGTGCCATTCCCGTAAGTTGAGCTGCGCATGCTGGTTCCCCTCTTCTCCCCCCCCACCCCGCTGGGCTGCCAAGCCACAGAGGTTGAGTACCGCTACCCTACACTACATTGGTCATTAAGTATAAATAAGTTTTTTTGTTTTTTTTTTTGCTTTAATTTATATGCTGCCCTTCTCCGGAGACTCAGGGTGGCTTACAATGCGTTAAGCAATAGCCTTCATACTTTTGTATATTTATACAAAGTCATCTTATTGCCCCCACAATCTGGGTCCTCATTTTACCTACCTTTGAAAGGATGGAAGGCTGAGTCAACCTTGAGCCTGGTGAGATTTGAACTTGCAGTAATTGCAAGCAGCAGATGTTAATAACAGTGCTTTAGTCCACTGTACTATCAGGCTGTTCCTGATTTATGAGTAATATAAAACAGTAGTGCTTATAAAGTGCAAGACAAGCACATCCTGATGCAATGATGCCTTGCCCGATTGATGCCTGCAGGTTTTGTTGGAATTACAGCTTGCAGTGTTTCCCATCGGCTGGAAAATCCAGACATTGTGGTTACAACATATCGGAAGGCATCTACTGGCTAAATGAATAACTTAAACTTAGTACAGATTGTCCTCACCTTACAACTATTTGTTTAGCAATTGTTTGAAGTGCCACTGAAAAAGTGACTCACAACCCATCTTATGACCATCACAGTATCCTCACGGTCACATGACTGATTGGTAACCGGCATGTAATTGTGATGATTGCAGAATCCTGAGGTCATATGATTGCCTTTTGCGACTTTCCCAGCCAGCTTCCAACATGCAAAATCAATGGGTGAAGGTGGATTTATTTAATGACTGCATGATTCACTTAACAAATGCAATGATTCCAGTGGTGGGTTTCAAATTTTTTTACTACCAGTTCTGTGGGTGTGGCTTGGTGGGCGTGGCATGGCTTGGTGGGCGTGGCTTGGTGGGCATGGCAGGGGAAGGATACTGTAAAATCTCCATTCCCACCCCACTCCAGGGGAAGGATACTGCAAAATCTCCATTTCCTCCTGATCAGCTGGGATTTGGGAGGCAGAGAATAGATGGGAGCGGGGCCAGTCAGAATTTTTACTACCGGTTCTCCTAACTACTCAAAATTTCTGCTACGGGTTCTCCAGAACTGGTCAGAACCTGCTGAAACCCATCTCTGAATGATTCACTTAATAACTGTGCCAAAAAAGGACATAAAATGAGGCGTGAGTCACTTAACAACTGCCTTGCTTAGCAATGGAAATTATGGTTCCAATTGTGATTTATTTTTATTTTTTATTTTATTTAGTTTGTCAAACATGTACGAGATAACAGGTATAAGTATAAACATGGACATGAGCACATGAAATGAGTACAAATAAATGGGGACAGTAGGACAGGGATGGTAGGCACACTGGTGCGCTTATGCATGCCCCCTTACAGACCTCTTAGGAGTGGTGTGAGGTCCATGGTAGACAGTTTTAAGGTTAAAGCTATGGGGGTTTGAGGAAGTAACAACAGAGTTGGGTAGAGCATTCCAGGTATTGACCACTCTGTTGCTGAAGTTGTATTTTCTACAATCATGTTTAGAGCGGTTTACCTTGAGTTTGTATCTATTGTTTGCCTCTGTATTATTGTAGTTGAAGCTGTAGTAGTTGTTGACAGGTAGGATGTTGTAGTACACAATTTTGTGTACTATACTTAGGTCAAACCATCGGCGGCGTAGTTCCCGGTTGTCCAAGCTCAAAATTTCAAGCCTGGTGGCATAAGGTATTCTATCATGAGCAGAGGAATGGAGGACTCTTCTCCTGAAATACCTCTAGACCCGCTCAATTGTATTAATGTCCGATATAGTGTGGATTCCAGGCAGACAAGCTGTATTCAAGGATTGGTCTGGCAAATGTTTTGCATGCCCTAGTTAGCAGTACAGTGTTACTGGAGAAAAAGCTTCACAAAATTAGGTTAGCAACTCTTAATGCCTTTTTGGCAATGCCAAAAATGGTTTTAAGTCAAGGACTACCAGTATTGAGTTATTATAGGGATGATATGGAATCAACTGTGGATTCAAAAGTAAGCTTTGACATGAATTGATGAATAGCAATATTTGAGGTTTTAGCTCAGCTATCAACAGATAGTTGCCACAGAGTAGCATTTGGTAGAGGAGCCATGAAGGCCCTTGGAAAAGATATTCAAAGGACACGATTTATCCATTGTACTTACAAAGATCAGAATTGTGCAAGTTATGGTAGTCCAGTCTTTGTGAAGCAAAAGTTGGATTTGAAGATGCAGAACAGGAAGAGTATTGACGCCTCTGAACTTTGGATCAAAGGATCATTCATTTAGTCAATCTAAGGTTCTGTGTCAAGGCGCCAATGATCGGGCTCAAATTGTCCTAGACACATTATGCAAAGACCAAGTGTCAGGGTTCCAAGTAACACCACCAACGAAATCAAACTCTGAGGCTTGAGCTTCCTCAAAGCTAACTTTTATTAGGGATGTCATATTGGCACATCTGGGAAAACCCGAATCTGAAAGCTTCCGGGTTTTCCTCACCCACAAGAAAGTTCAAGACCTTGCCCACATCTCCCACATGTCCACACAGCTCCAATCAGTTCTTTCTCGAACAGAAGACATCCTCCAATTTCTTCTTTGCACAGCTGCTGGACACCATGGCCTTGAACTTCTCTTAGAGATGTTTGTTATGGCTATCTCTACTTCACTCACGCAATCCCCCCTCCCAACTTCCCACGGTATGATTGTGGCAGGCCTGGATCCTCAAGGCACACAGGTAATATGGCTTCCAGGCATGACACCAAGCTCCCTTGAAAAGCTTTAATGCTGGAAAAAATGGAAGGAAAGACAAGAGGATGACCAGCATTTTACAGTGGTAATGAAGACACCATTGGAAGACCTGAAAGGACAGATTAGGGACCGACAATCATGGAGAAAATCTATATGGTTCAGTGGTGGGTTGCCCCCGGTTCGGACCGGTTCGGACGAACTGGTAGTAAAACCGGCGGGATGCCCCACCCACCGTCCCAGATGCCGTCATCAGCGATCTGCGCATGTGTAAAAGCTTCTGCGATCCTGTTGCGAACCAGTAGTAAAGGTAAGTAGAACCCACCCCTGATACGGCTGTTAAGAGTCAACCATGATTTGATGGCATGTCATCCTTATCATCCTCATCCATCCTTATCCATCACCATCCTCATCCATCCTCATCATCCATCCTCATCATTATGAAGAGACTGTTATGGGAGGTTCTGCACCATATGAATCCATATCTAGGTCAATCTGGAAAACTATCTAATCTTCATGGGGTGGGAGAGGCAAGAAGATACCAGGAAGACCTAAAAGATGCTCTGGGCAAATGAGTCTCTACCTGAGAACAGAAAAAGAGGGGAATTGTTAGGCTGCCTGAGGAACTGTTTGAGATGAGTGGAGGGTAAGAGACACAGGTACCAGGCGAGGCACCAAAGGGATTGGTGGTGGGCAGAAGATGGGCAAAGGGGGTGGGCAGGGCTTGAGTGCTGCCATTGAGGCAGGGGCTTGGGGGGGGGCAGGGCTTGGGGAGGTGGGCGGGCCAACACGTGGGAAGGAAAGGGCGGGGCCTGTCACGTGCAGGAGGGACGGAAGCTGCTGCGGTGGAGGTGTTGCCCAGGTGCTGAAGGGGTTGGGAGGGAGGGAGGGACGTGGGGGGGTGGGGAGAGGGTGTCCCCCGAGGGGGGCAGTTAGGGCACTTTTCCTGCGGCCGGAAGCGGAAGTCGCCTGGTATTTCCGGCGCTCCGCGGGCGGGCGGCCATGTTGCAGGGGTGGATCGGCGCAGCGGCTTTTGCTGGGTCCCGCGGTGGCCGGTAGGTTGCGGGCTGGCGCCTGCCCGGGCGCGGCCAATCCCCGAGGGGGGGCGCTGCAGCTGGGACTCGACTCGAGGCGTGGCGGATCGGGGGGAGGGAGGGGAGGGGGGGCTCCTCGGCCTCGCCTTCTCCTCTCTCCCCCCCCCCTCTTCCCGGCCACGGGATGCTCCTCCCTGGGCGCTCTCCTCCCCGCCCTCTCCCGGCCGGTCTGCGGATCGCCCCCCCTCCCCATCCTCGGCCGCCGCTTCCGCGGGGTCCCGCCGGACGACACACCTCTTTTCCCCAACCCAAAGCCTCCTTCCCCTCCGCCTGGCCCCGCCCCGCCCCTCTTTTGCCTTGGCATCGTCCCCTCGTCCTCCTGCTCCCGGCTTACTTTGGCTTCAGTTTTAGGAAAGGTGGGGTGGGGGGGGGAGAAGCCTCCCCAGCCCTTCTGCACCTGGTCTTTGGGAGCGGACCAGCTGTCAGGACGGAGCCTTTTTCTTCCTTCCTTCCCCCCACCCTTTCCCTTCACCGAGCTGTCATCCTCAAGATCTGGATTCGTTTTTGGGGAGATCCATCCCTTTCGGATCCAAAAGGCTTTCTGCTTCCAATTCTGCTTCTGCCTTTTTTGCAGCTTTCTCCAAAAGAGAGGGAGAGAAAAAAAGTGGGCTGTCCTTGGGGTTTTTGCAAGAGGGTTCTGCTATTGTTTTGCACCCCGCGCCTTGGAGGGTGCACATCTTGGATTGAATTGGTAGGAGTCCTTCCTCTCTTGCTTCCACACAAGTTTCATGGCCACAAAGAATACAATACGTGAATAATAACATCTCACAGGTGATACAGCTATAATATATAATATATATTTCTTTATCAGCAAAAATATAAATTTTGGTATAAAATGGGTTGTCGTGAATGCGACTGAGGGCTCCTGGATTGGAGCTGAAAGGCGAAAGGGAGCCTCCTCCCACATGTTGGGGTAGACCAGGTGTCTTGATAGAAAAACTATATATATATAGCCAGGTTCTTCCTACGTAAACCAAGATTTAGGGCTGCATAAAAATCTTGGTTTACGTAGGAAGAATCTGGCTAAAGAGAAATACATATATATACATAGATAGATAGATAGATAGATAGATAGATAGATAGATAGATAGGTAGGTAGATAGGATGTAGACATGATTAGGAAATGGCAGAGATGCTTGCAATTCTTAAAGATTTTCGCAGCTTTGAATTGTCGAGATCGGATGCGATTTCGAAGGCCCATTCAGAAAAGGGTGCTGTAAATAATACATTCAGGATCAGTGATCACAACATTTCTTTGAACTTCTTCAATCATTTGTGGGCAATACATAAGGTTGCAGTTATTTGCTTATATATTTATATATATATTAGTATCACAACAGAGATCCACATCTTGCAAAACTCTAGGAATGAATTAAAAAAAAAAGATCTTTGTATGGAAGTATTTATTTTTTCGTTCAACGTCTGTGAAGTTAATTTGTGGTGTACGTCTTTGAGAAACTATCCGAAATAACTCTTACATTTATTTTATCAAGCAAGTTTTCATCAACAGGCAAATTATCCTCTTGTTTACTGTGGTGTAAGTCTTAATTCGTTTTGGTTAATATATCATCCACTCTTTCAAAACCAACTAACATCTTTCACTGATTAATGTGAAGATCCAAAACCATTGTTTTACATTAAAAAAAATGATAGCTTTAATTTCTCTTTGGGGTTGTGACTATTGGCCACAATTTTTTTAAAATAAAAGATCATTTACATCACATATTCACTATGGTTAATAATTTGTCTTGATTTTTAGAGTCTCTCTCCGTCCTCCCAGTTGAAGTCTTTGTAAAAACTTCAAAAACTTCACAAGAGGTGAAGCTAAAACAATGAGTTCTTTTAGGGTTGTTTTTCTTGTTACCCAAGTTCTGGCATGACAACTACTCAAAGCCTAAAATAAACTAATAAGTGAGCCATTTTGGTTGTAAGGGGGAGCTGGCTAGAACTTAAGACCTATTCACAAACAGGTCATAAACTATAATGATGAATGTGTTGTGTGAAAACACTTTAAAGTTGTCTTGCATTGCAGCTTTATGCATGTTTATTTGAAAGTTTCTGTCTAAAAAAGAGCTTATTCTCTGATAAGTGTTCACAATTGTGGCAACTGGGTGCGCTGCTGTTGATTAACAATTATTTCCAGCAGGACTTTTGGAGTGGCACCACAATATTTGAGTTTGAATTTGATCCTAAATGAGTGATGTTGAGAGGTCATTTAGTATATGATATAGATAATTATTTGGGGGATGAGATCATTGGTTTCGAAAACCTTTTTTATATAATCTGCTTTGTGTATCTTTGAAACAGTTATTTGAAAGATGTTCTGTTTTACAAATGGGTCCAGAGCCTGCGAGAGACTTGCTTAATTCGTCTTTTCATTTCATGGAAAATTACAATGTGATGTGCAAAAATCAAATGCCTATTGATGGATCAGCTGACTTTGAGTGACATACTGTATTTGGAAGAGGCACTTCTAGCTTTGGACGCGCAACAGTGTTGTGTCATTATTTTTCTCCTCCCTTAGTGACTGATCATCCTAATTACATGACAGGATTGTGTCATGCTGCAATGCTATCACTCTGATATGTTTCCTGTGTTCATAGCATGATATTACATGAGGAATGGAGAAAATGAACTGGGCTAGGTTACTGTTAAACCCAAATCTGATCTCAATTGCCATGAGATTGAATAAAAAGTAGAGCTGGTGGGAATGGAACCTTGTTGAATATTTAATCATTGCAATCAATCATGTTTTGGCTAATCATATTTTGGCTGGATATTATATTTTACTAGGTTTGCACGACATAGTATGCCCAAACTAAAGAAATCACCAAATAGTTTAATAAATGAACCAGTTACCTGTTTTGATTGTTATTCATGAACTCCTAGGCTTTTAACATAATAGACTGGTAATTTATATTATTTTTTTTAACATAGGCTGGTGGCAAACTGTGGCCTTATCCATCTTCCATTCACTCTTGCCCTTGTGCCTTTGTTCCATAGTCGTCTTCACCCTTAATGGCTAATTGAATCGAGTTGCTGGGCCAACGTGTATTCACTTGTTTTGTGTCCTAGTGTTTCAGTTTTAAAATAAAAAATATATATATACAGAATTCCTCCCTGTCAGTCCTGACCAGTGACCAATTGTTTGTTTGTTTGTTTGTTTCAAGGTAGGTAAAATGAGGACCCGGTTTGTGGGGGCAATAAGCTGACTTTGTATAAAAAAGAACACCGCTTGTGGGGGCCCGAAAGCCCTATAAGGAGGTATATACAAAAGTATGAAGGCTATTGCTTAACGCATTGTAAGCCACCCTGAGTCTCCAGAAAAGGGCGGCATATAAAATCGAACCAAATAAATAAACAAACAAATAAATAAATGTTTTATGACATAATACAAAATGTCATAAAACTTTTCCTGTGGTCAACTGTTGATGCTGGACATTTCAACATGCACTACCATTGTAAGTTGCATAGTTTTCGGAAAGTGAAATTTTGCATTTTTTTTTTTTTAAATTTGATTTATATGCCGCCCTTCTCCGGAGACTCAGGGTGGCTTACAATGTGCTCAGCAATAACCTTCATCCTTTTGTATATTTATACAAAGTCAGCTTATTGCCCCCACAACTGGGTCCTCAATTTACCTACCTTAGAAAGGATGGAAGGCTGAGTCAACCTTGAGCCTTGGAGAGATTCGAGCCTGCAGTAATTGCAGGCAGCTGGTCTTAATAACCAGCTTAATAACAGGGTGCCTTAGACCACTGTACTACCAAGGCTCTTTTATTTATTTAATGCAGCATCAACTTTATTATTGTTTCATGCACTTATAACTGAGGCCTGGCACTAAAACCTAGTTCTGAATCAGAATGTGTGTGTGTGTGTTTTAAACTAGTTTAAATTCAGCATTCCTTGCATCTTAGAATAAGTTAACTATGAAGTATGAAAATGTTTAACTGTGAAAGGGTGTGATATTTCATAAGCTTCCGATTTCTAAACATAACCTGGAATAATGATCAAAAAAGTGACCAAAATAAAGAAGTATAATTTCACTTCTGCATTTAATCATATATTTCTCGGGAAGCGATTGCTGTGTCTGAGTTAGTTTAAATATATACTTGTTGAATCATTTTGAAAGCACTCCTACTCCTTGTTAAATATAATCTTCTAACTAGCTGTTGGACTCATATAGCCAAAAAGAAAATATTTGTTAGTTTCAAATCACTCCTAATTTGAGTGAGGTTCTTCACTGTGAAGACCTAAGGCACAGATTTATCTGAAAAAGTTGAGACTTGTTATTTGACCTCTAAAATGGCAGTGACCGAGTAATACTGGATGTATTATATTTTGGATTTACTTAGATCAGTATCAAGAGGTCTAACAAAGAGAAGAGAAATTGTGTTCTCTAAAGCTGAATGCATTCCAGAATTCTCTGTTATACATAAAGGCATTATTTTTGGAGGCAGGTTTCTGTAGTAAGGTTTCCCAGAAGTCATTCTTCCTAGTGTTTGGAACCCACATGCAAATCCTTAAATGTGGATGCTGCTCACCAGACCATCTTGCTGATTTAGAAGTAGGGAACCTGTTGCCATCCAACTGTTTTGAACTACAGTGGTCATAATAGGTAGCCATGATGGTTGGCTTATTGGTTTATTATAAAGCTTGCCATCCAAAAACCTGTAAAGAACACCAGCTGACTAAACCAGCATGCAAAATGGAAAACTAATTGATACAACTTGTGAAATCCCTTACAAGGTAAGCAGAATTATTTCCATTTATGAAGCCTTTTTGTAAGGAACTACTTAATGAGATGTCATGTAGGGCTTTCAAACCTCTGCTTCCATTTCCTCTTCCGCACCTTCTCCTGAAGTTTGAGTGTTGGTAGAGACATATTGTTTCTGAAAAAATAATAGACTACAGATTACAAGAACGTGTTTAATATAGTAACAAACATCTCCCAGGTAGTGCAGAAGGTACTTAGATGGAAAGTTTGGTATATTTTTAAATGGGGACAGTTCTGTTAGCTGTGAAAGAACAACAAATAGTGTGATTGACTCTGAAGATTACCTGATGGGAGACCATGGTATCTCAAATGGACTAACATACTTAATATGTCCGGAATCCAGAATTTATGACTCCTGTGGAATTGAAATACGGCAAATTTTATAAAATACCTCTTGACATAAAAATTATCAAGCCTTTTATGACATACCATACTTTTCGGAGTATGACACACTTTTTCCCCCCTAAAAGAGGGTGAAAATGTTGGTGCGTCTTATACACCGAATACAGCCATTTTTGGTCTCCTGAAACCCCGCCCCGTGCATCCCTTTTTCACCAAAACAGGCCTGTTTTTCGCAAAAACAGGATGTGCAGAGGGTTTGGGAGGCCTGCAGAGTGCTCCTGGGGGCCGGGGAGGGCAAAAACTCGATGTGGGGGGGGTTTGGGAGGCCAGAAACGGGCCCGTTTTTCATGAAAATGGGCCCTTTTTTTTTCAAAAATGGGGCCTGCAGAGGGTTTGGGAGGCCTGCAGAGTGCTCCTGGGGACTGGGGAGGGCAAAAATGTGACACGTGGGGGGGTTGGAAGGCCAAAAATGGGCCCGTTTTTTGCAAAACCAGGAGTATTTTTGCCCTCCCCAGCCCCCAGGAGCACTCTGCAGACTTCCCAAACACTCTGTGCACCTCGTTTTTTGCAAAAAATGGCCCATTTTTGGCCTCCCTAGCCCCCAGGAGCACTCTGCAGGTCTCCCAAACCCTCTGCAGGCCCCATTTTTGCG